AGCTCAGTGGTTTAGGAAGTTAAATTGGGCACAAATCAAATTAGGCACAGTTCAGCATGCCATATAATCTGTGGGGACTCCCCATTGCTTGAGGAGCACACAGCTAGCAAACACCCTCTTGAGATCCAGCCAGCACGCTTTGCTCGTCTGCTGCAATGGAGATCCTCTATGAAATAGTTTCCATTCATAGTCTTTGCCTTGGAAAAATCAATGGGAAGCACTGCTCAACATAAAGCAATTAGAACTAACCAACACATGCTGGAGGCTTGTAGAGAGACACAGCTCTAGAGAGGACAGTCCTTCCCCAATTCCCACATAATTCTAAGGCACAGAATTAACAGAGGTACAGACCCAAAGGCCAAAAATCTTATTTTCCACTAAATGCCTTGCTAGCTCCTACAAAGGATGGGAGAAGTATTACAAATAATTATTACAGTATAATTCAGAACAGCATCTGCCAGAGTATCTTTTTTTTTTTTTTTGACTCTCCTTTGTTTTTTTTAATTTTGTGGCTTGTCATTATCAGTCGTAGAATGTTGTTATAAACTTCAGTAAACAGAGTGTCTTTTCCAAAATTTTAGAGTTTCTGCTCTGCTTCATTCTTAAGCATCACTAGGTGGAGGTATTGCACAACACAACGTTAATGCCCCTCAGTGGCGTTATTTTCAGAATTAGGAAGAACTTTGTCACTTAATTCCACAGCTATTTTATATAGTATAATTTTATTATTTTCTCATCCGCCCTCACCATGGCACCCACCTTTTCCCATCCTCAGTTTTCATCATTTTGGACATATCCCCTCCTCAGAAATAAACTAGCTCATCTCCTAATTTAGGCATCCAACTATATGACCCAACATGCCAAAAACGTAAAACATGCCAAAGTTATCAGTTTTTAAAAAGTGACAGCAGTCGGTGCCGGCACATCCTCGGCTCATTTAAATACATACATACATATCAATTCATTCAGATTTAGGCTAAGGAGATGCATTTTTTTGAAAAAATTTGGCTTTTCCTGCAAAAGTCAACATGTGTTCTGTCCTCCTTAATCCCTAAGGAGAAGTAAGTCCTATCTACTCTGAAAACACAGGCATCAGAGCCAGGTATCTATCGGAACCAGATGTCACGACCCAAAAGAGAGAGTACACAGATGGTATGGGGACATACGGCACACCAGTTCTTTCCCACTGCGCGTATCCCTGTCAAGACGGCTCTTTAGCTTTTTTCACTATTTTTTTCCTGTATGCAATATGTAGGGGAGTTAGCTGCCAAATTTTTTTCCTGTTTTAAAGGGGCAAAGGAATCCTATTTCTTATTGCTCCCAATCATCCTGTTTATTCATCCTTTCAGAAAAGGGGGAATTTCTAACCTCCTTTATCTATCTGTAAATTCTTTACTCCAACAAAGATGCATTTTTCCTGTCACTTCTCCTATGCTCCATTTGATATAAGGTGGTTGTGGCACACACATTAATTAGGTACAGACCTAATTAATACAGTGTGCTTATCTTTCCCTCTGGGTCAGAAGCAGGGTAAGAGCAAACAGGCCAAATTTCTTTCTAAATACAACTACTTGTCCAAGACATTCACTTTACGGTGCAGGAGGAAGAATTAACTATGCACATGTGAAAGAGGGAAAACATGCTCAAGAGGTAGGGGTATTAGGAATAATGTGCTTGAATGGAAGAAAAATGCCTTTTAAGGACCTCAGAGCAGCCCTTCCCATCTCTTAGAGAACTGGCATACATTCACGTTATAAACTGAGCAAGAAAGTATAAAAGATCAAAAACCACCACTACTGACTGGAGAAGAAATGAGGCAGCACAAGGGTGTGTTACCACAGATAATGAAGGAAGAGGAAGCACTCCCCTAACATACATCCCTTAGTTCAGAAAATCCAGTGAGACAGTTTTCAAAATTCCCCTGCTACGACAGCTACTGTTGTGTTCCAGAAATGTAATGGTAAGATCAAAGGAGTGGCTAGGGACCAAAAAAAAAAAAAAAGAAAAAGAAAAAGAAAAATAATTTACATATCTAAGTCACCTGATCTGGAGCAGCAATTTAAAATCATCCTTTCTGGAGGAGAAAATTCAGACATTGAACCCAACACCACCTAAATCATTTTATGAGCTTTCTAACTTTCTTCAGGCTGAAATGCTGACTCCTGATAATCAGAGTATTAGCCAAATAGAGCTCTAATTCTAATTTAATTCCACAGTAACCTTGATGCTCTCTCAGAAGAGGTTACACGTTAGCTGCACTTTTTAACTGTGCACTTTTACCTGTTCCCTAGTAAACACATCTGATCAGACTCCTTTTTCAAAACCATTTCAATAAGGGAAGCAATCCTAGAGCAGATCAAGGACGCAGGAGGACTGTACTACTTTCTAGCTTACTTCTAGTGATTAACATTCAGTTTGTCTCAACAAATGCATCAAGCCCTGATTATTATTAGCACATCTTGAAAGAGAACAAGCATGCACATCAAGTGGCATGCCTTGCCTTTATTCTCCTGCTGCCTACATTGGTGGAAGGGGAATAAAGAGCGTAGGAGAAGGAGAAAATTTTATTGGTCCTGTGTTCATGTATTTTAGCATGTATGGCTAAATGAGAGACACAGCAGTACTCTGGAATAAAGCTACCAGCCACGGATTTTATTTACATCTCTTCTGAAGTTAAACGATGTAATATATCTTAAGTATTTCTAGGGATAAATGTCTTTTCTTAGCCTAGACCTATATAAAAGTTAAGTATATTCCCAGACTGCTTTATCTTCAAGCTAACTGCAGCTACAGAAGGAGATACAGTACTTAAACCACCATGGCCTCTGAACAAAATACAGGACATATCTACAAGACAGAATGGGTAGAACCTGAAGAGAGTAAGAAAAGAGGGAAATGTGAAATCGCATTTCCTCCTTGCAGAATGCAATACACAGATAATTTAGAGGGAAAAAAGCCACTCAGGAATGTTCTGTCTAGGGCCACCATGTAGATTCCACCAGGTTGTGCTAAGTCGGCCTGGGTTTGGGCTCAGAAAGCGTTCTCTTCCCTATCACGTAATCCATGGTTTAATATAGTCACAAATATGCACATTAAAATAGGAAGTAGGTCATATCCTTGGAATTAGCTGACATGAAGAAAGAAAGTGGGCTCTGAAAGGGAAATTGAGAAAGGAGGAAAGTCTCCCAGAAAGAACTAGAATCACTAGACAGTTCAAAAGCAAAAGATGTTGCAGAGAATGCTTTCAATGCCACTTCCATATAACATTCAAACTGTTTTCTCCCTCAGCATAAGACTATAAACTGAAACAAATCTGCCACATTGTGGTTAAAAAATACTTCTTCATGTATTATATTTCCTTTTCCTTCTGAAGCTACCAAGTTTCCAGAAGCAAATTTCTGGCCAATTAATTCATTTTTATAGAGAGCAATCAGCACACCTCTGATTATGGGGATTCTTTTATTGGATTGCAAAAAAACAGAATGATTTTCCTATATGACTTGCAAAAGAGAAGAAAACAGAGACAAAATTCAACTTCAAAATAAACTTCCATAACAAAACGGTAAGCACCTTCAAGCTACATTCAAATAATTAGCTAAAAATTCAACATGGTAACTGATACCTCTTTCCCACACCCATTTTCACCCAAGAAAACTAAACTAAATAATCATACAAAATTTGGCTGTCTTAAAAGAAAGTACCAGCTAGATCAATACTAATTCATAATTATCTTTCTTCATTTAAAGTCTGGGAGTCCGGTTTAATGGGAGAATGCTTGTCTCCAGTGCTGTTGTACCAAACCTGTGAAAAGAACTCCAAAAAAGTCACCCGAAATCATCACAGTACTTTCACAGAAGAAACAAAAGAACTCCATGTTTATACTGACTTTAAAGTAAACTGCAGTTTTTCAGTGTTTTTCTGAGCATTGAGTTTAGTCATTATTATCAATTTTTTGCATTGGGAATATCTGAACTATCCAGATTTCTAAATTGTTTTTTTTTTTAAAAGTTCCAGCCTAAACATTACGCATTTCCAAAGAAAACTGGTCCAAAATCTACTAGAACTATAGTACCTCATCCGATGAATCTATCTTGATCACAGTTTTCATGGCAACATCTTCAAAGAAGCCTCTAGTCGGTGGAGGCTGTGGAAAAAATCAAACAGCTGTGAGCCACACAACCAGGCAAGTGGGACACTACCCATAAGGACATAGATCTTTACACTCCTGTAAACAAAAATCTCCTATGAAATTTTATTGCAAATCTTTCACTTCAAATGTGTTACACTGCCTGGACCTTACTTTCTCTCTTATCAATATAAATACAGCCTAAGAATATATTCCACGGCATACACACTTCTGAGAACCAGCTGAACAGACTTAAGTGACAGATGCTAACCTGGCAATAAAGACAATGTAAGAACCTACTCACATTAGAAAAGAACACAAAAAGCAAATAGAATTCATGTTTATGGTCACATAATGCTCTTCAAGAATAGAGAGCGAGAACTCCCGCCATTTCAGACTATCTTAACAAGGAAGCAGCATGTCCTTTTTTTTTTTTTTTTTTAGCATAAGGCACACAAAACAATGGACCATGTTTCAGAAATACCAAGCTACTTCCAATCAGGTTGATGCGTAATATCCACACACCTCTATTTTTTCCCCTCCCACAGGTAGATAAGATATTATGTCTTGTCCTCAGCTCCTGGTCAGGTTTCAGAACTGGCCTATTGAGAAAGCCAGATGTATCAAACCTCTTCACACTGTGGATTGTCTGAGCATATCACCAATGCACGTGGAGAAGTTGGGTCTTCCAACATCTCCAGGAGCCCCTCGCCGACCCCTCTGCCCTGGGAATTCTCCCACCATTATGATAGCCCAGGGGTCTTCACACCTTGGGAAGCTCTTACTCATACCGAAGCCTGCAAGCTTTCTTCACCATGTGTTCCACACAGCATAGCTGTGCAAATATATGGATTTTCCCAGTTGCAGGCTGGGGTAGGGGGGATGTTTGTTTTAACCCAGTGATGTATGTCCATGGTTTCTAAAGGAATTCAGTGATTCAACATTCCATTCAACAAGCCACTCATTTCATTTAACGGAAGCATGCCTGGTTCCTGAGCAGGCTGCCTTATGATAGGCAGATAGGGAATATCTAGTGCTTCCCGAGTCCACAATTCGCAGGGCACTGCAGCCAGACTTTCCTGCTTTTCCTGCTGTAGATTTTGGGCTTTCAGGATGCCCAGCCCAAAGAAAATCCTTTGACAGATCCTCAGTGAATTTCCTGTTTGTAGTTAGCACAGCTGAGACACAGAATGAGAACACTTGTTCTCCTGAGTAGCAACAGAGTCTGGAAAGTTTCCAGTTTGCAAGAAATCTCAAATATTTTCAGTTTCCTGACCACTTCAAGGGACAAAGTTTAGAAACACCCCCTTGACTAGATACCACAGCATTATTTAACAATTGTGTGAAAGGTCACAGATTGCAATGCATTTGCTTAAAAGAGTTGGTATCCAACTGTTCAGCTGAAACACATTTAGTGCTTTGAGGAGTATTAAGTATACCTGCTGTATCATGCATTTCTCCACCACTTCAAAGAGCAAGGATGAAGCCTGTTGCTCAGAGGGGGACCTCAAAGCTTGCACAAGGCATTACCTCATTCTTGTGATAACGAGGAAGTCAAACTTGTCGCAGAGGGGCAACAAGAAGTGTAACAGAATGACTAGGAAAATGCAGATTTTGCAATCAGAATTTCATTTATCAACCGCAGTTTCGATTAAAAAACAAATAGATTTAGTGGATATTACTTTTATATGAACAACAGTCTACCATCATCAACAACATGTATTTCACATATCTGTGTAAGACTAACACAACAAATTTTGTTGCTATCCATAGCCTAAGCAGAAATAAAGTTGCACAGAGTTTTAGTTTTAAGGTGTAATTTATGGGACGGGTGGATAGTTTTTACTCCTCTAGGAAAAAGTCCAGTCTGTAATATACAGAATTTGTGCAGAAAACACACATTTCAAAATTACCTTCTCAGTAGCATTAAGCCAAGAACATCTTAATTTCCTTACGCTAGAGAACTGGTCAAAGTCTTAGGCAACAAATATACTTCAGAATAAGATATATTTTTTCTGGGTGGCATTTGATAGCGTACATTCTTCCAGAATCTTGTATGTGATGAACGAGATTTCTCTGAGAAGTCCCCTTTCCATTGGATAGCCCCATGTTTTTGCTTAATGTATCTGATTGATTCTGGTATGCTTGTGTAGTCCTGTATTTTGCCCATTTCTATAAGAATTACTTTAATTCCATCACGGATGAGAGCATTATACATAGTTAACTGTTGTTCAGAGGTGTCTTCTAATAGGCAGCAACTAGATGTTTCTGATCCCAGAATAATCATCAGTCTTCTGCTTTGCTTAAGGATTTCATCAGCAACACTGACCACAGCTGGAAGTAACGAAATAACAATCAAAGTTGGCATAGAAACATTACAAGCGATGCAAAATATTTCCTAATTCTAAAACTACAAATGTATGGAGGAGTCGCTAGCTCAGAGGATTGGCAAATCTAAGACCTCCCAATAGTCATTCATGATTCAAATCTATTGCATGATATTACTGATAAAAACTGATTTCCTCAGTCCTCAGGAGCAATAATGTAACTAATACTACTGAATCCTCATTTATCTATCTTTAAAAAGAAAGTAACAACCTTCCTGATATCTGTGCAGAATGTTTGGTAAGGAAACATTCTCTTGTCCATTAGAAAAATAAACATTTATAGCTTTAAATTTAGTTTCCAAAAATAATTGGGTTTTAGCTGTAAGTATAATCTTTTCCTAACCCCAGAAGAACATGTCAAAAGACAATATATTAATTCTGCTAGTTAAATCATACCTTCCCCTGCTAAATCATCTCTTCCTAATATAAAGAGATTGTATCCACACTGTCGTTCCAAAACATCAGGTAGTATTTTAAGAACAAAGCTTTCCAGCGGATAGCAGCTGCCGCCTCCATTGCCTTTTGGATACAAGACATACGCATCATAGATTTTCCCATCTAAAACAAACAAAAATGTTCTATTAGAAAATAGAACATGCCTTTAGTACAAGGTTTAATTTTGGACTGTTTGAAATAGCTATAGGGGGCAGATTCAGCTATCTGGCAGAATAACAGCAAGGCACTAAAACACTGTACAAATCAAAAGATTTGTACAGCCACAGAATCTGATCTCTTTTCCCACCACGGGGGGGAAATTTGCCGGCAAGCAAATGGATGCAGGACCATGAAAAATGCAGGAAAAATCCCCCAGCCCCAAAAGTGCCAGCATGTGCCTTGTGGCAGGACTATCTTCACAACCTCTTCTGAAGCTCCCTCAACACTTCTCTCCACTTTTGCCTATCCAGAGCAGGTGGAAAATGGAAACTCTTTTTCGTTTTGGGTGAGGGTTAGGTAGGCAGAGAGAGGAAGAGGCCTCAGTAGAAGCCTGAGGTTTCGAGAGTTAAAATTGCATAATAAACAGGAATGAAGCAAAGAAACCAAAGCAAAATAAAATTTAACTCAGGCTAATTTTAGCTCAACAAGTTACAAAACATATTATCGTTGATTTTTTCATTAGTACTCCATTAATATTTTCTGGGAAACTGAACTTTTAACCACAAAAAAAATCTACTTTGAAATTATTTTTCTGTGAAAACATTTCAAACACCTATGAATAAATGTTAGCTATCTCTATGCAAGTAATCCATCTCCTTTCAAGCTCTAGGGAACTTCAGCTGGTCTAGGTCTGAGATGCTGCCACAGCACTCATAATAATGATGCAACAATGTTACACTTATTCCCATGTTTTCACCCCTGTCCAATGAATATATCTACACTACAGTAATAAAAACACAAAATAGAAATCACAAAATAGAGAACTGGTAACAGTTTTTCTCTTTGGCATGTAACTATCATAGCTTGCAAGAATTAGAAGGAAAGTGATGGGTAAAAGAGAGAAGTTACAGGGGGAAAAAAAAATCATCTCTGAGAAAATGAGAGTCTGATCTTCAACAAAAATATTTAACGTAGATTTATAACCAGCTGGTCTACAGGATGTAGCTCTGCTGACACCTATTGATCACTATCAGAGTGACCATAAATCTACATGCAAAGAAACTACTTCACAGAAAAGCAAAGAGCATCACACTAATTTCCTTTTGACTTATCCTCACCATGACTGCTATGGTACTGTACAGTGTTTACTATTTGAATTATGACATGTATTTCACACATATGACTGAAAAAAGATCTTTTAGTGCTTATCTGAAAATTTCTCTAGAAAATTTCAAATACATTCTATTAAATAACCACACACATTATTTTTGGCAAGCAATGGTAATCAAAAAAAAGATGGGCATACCTTGTCATACTTACATACCTTCCTTACTTACGAAAGCACAACCTGAATTACGATACCAAAGTATAAAGTCAATCTTGAAAATCTTGTAGATTATTAAAGTAATGATTGTTATAAGCAATAAAGAGATAAGGCCTCCAATCAGCCATCTCCGTAAATCAGGAACTGCACAAAAACATAAGAATAAAATTAAAAAGACAATGCTGAATTTGTCCAAATTCGATCTTTCAAACAAATGTAACAAAAATTTAAGTATCATATTTTTCACTTCCTCCTATTATTTTAATAGTGTTTAATTATAAATACATTACTGCAGTGACTCCTCCGCTTTGCATGTGCACGTGCATACACACAGCAAATTATCGTCTTTGTGTCATCAGCATGACATAGGAGTATTTGGTATCAAAACCCTTCTAGGGAAGTCAAGTTAAACATAGTCCTCAAAAATAACAGAATTCCTTACCTCTGTGCTTTAATTTGATATAGGATGCCACCTCCCCAAAGGCATTTGAAGCATGACAGACAAACGGTTGTTCATAATCTTCATCATACACTTCTGATATTATTAGCTTCACAGTATGCACGGGGCGTCCATCACGGGAAGTTTCTTCCCTATCCAAAAAGTGACAAATACAGCAATAAAACCACTGACTTCTCTGACACGGTTTCTGCACAGCCACTTGACAAGGGTCATTTTTATCATGAACATGACTACTACATTTCAGAATAGATGAGTAGCCACATTATGTAAGGGAAACCCAAACAACAGTTGGGCTTCTTACTGACATTTAGCAGAGACATCAGGAAACATCATGATGTAAACTTACTGAAGCTGTGTTTCCCCAAAGGCATTCAAGGTTTCTGTAGGCTACAGTGCAAAAAAAAGATAGTACAAACCTAAGCAAAACCCTGCTGTTTTTTTTTTTAAGATATATTTCTAATATGAACTAAACTTACAGGAGGACATAACTTCACAAAAAAAAAAAAAGCTTAGAAGAAAAACAGCTGTATTTAGCTGCTCGTCCTCTGGAACAGTATGTGGAGAGCTCTAGCGTTTGGTGGAAAAAAAGATCTGCAATGGGAAATGACATAATAGGAGGCCTCAGTACAAGGGCTCCGTCCTGTGGTAAGCAATTCTGGGACAGGAAGTACACCAAAGGTGACCCACAGCACACAACAATAATTCTCCAAGAGATTCCAGCTATCAGCAATGGTGTCTAAACCTCTGTTTCACCTCATGGATCAAAACATACTCAGAAGAGCAAAATGGGTTGTAAGGGTTGGGCTGCACTTTGAAGAGAGACAACTTATTCCCCATACCTTGTCCAAGGGCACACAAATGCCAGTTACGCTGCACATGGTATGCACGACTAACTGAATGGTGTGTGACTAGATGAACGTTACTCTAAAATAACTGAATAAGTAACGTTTTAATCATTGGCAAAGTGAGGGATACCACTACCTTATTAATATCTTAAATATAATACCTAACTTGTCTACTCAGCCATGCACTCTCTTTCCCGAAAACATATTCTACTCACAATTTAAAATATAAAACAAATATTTGAAATATATTCATAAAGGTCATATATAGGCCCACACAAATCAGTTTCTGAGAAAAAGGTTACAGTAGTTAAAACACTAAGGAATGAATGAATCAATATCATTAATACAAATGACTGGAACCAGAAAATATTATCTTTCAAAGACAACTATTTAAGTGCTAAGAGATCTCAAAATTGACACCACCTTTATGACACCAATTCAGAGATTGCGTGTCTCTGCGTTATGGCCCAACCTTTAATAACATTATAACGATTACTCTCCTATAGGGTTTTCTCTCGACGAGCACTAACAATACTCAGCATTTGTTTCCCTCTTTTTTTATGATGAGAACCTTGGCTTACTTATTTCTCACAACCATAACCTTGCTTTGAAGATATCATTTTCATTTCTTCATCAGTTTCTCCCTCATATACAGTGCCTGAGAGTTTATAAATATGATTTTTTTCCTCACAGCACCTACAATTTTTAGTTCCCAAACTCACACGTAGGGAACTTTTTCAGATTATCTTCTGTCCCAGTTTCAGTTACCTTTTGCAGGTCAGGTCTATTTTCTTGCCCCCTAACTCCATTTAATGTGCCTTTCAGTCTCACCTTGCCTCCCGGTTACCCTTCTCCTGCTTTACTCAGTGCCAGCCTCAATTTTCCCCCCCAAACCCCAACTCATCATTGGAAATTCATTTCCCTTGTCTTCTCTCATCCCACTGAGTTTCAGACCAAATGTCATCAGCAAAATCTTCCATTAGCTCTTCATCTGATCTCAGTTTTCCTTCCCCAACTCAAGGCTCTTTAACCCATAAGTTTCAATTACTCCTGTAAAGCACTGGTTCCACCTCTTGCAACCTTTTAGAGGGGCAGATGTGAGAGGAAACTGGAGAATACAGAAAAGAGTTTGAACTTCATGCGCCAGGACATGCTTGACCCAACTGAAAGTGGCTTTTGCCAGGCCAGAGCTTGCTTAGTAGAAACCATTGCAACTACAAGACTCTTAAGTCTCTACAGAACACCCTTTTCCCAAGCTTGAAAATTAAGATGGATTTTTATAATGATCATAAAGCGCACATCCCCATGCAAAGTCCATGTGCCCACTATGTGTCAAGCTCCTACTGCAAAGCAGAAAGTGAATTGGAGGAGGTAAGCACTAGAGTTCTTAAAAAGAAAGCTATTTAAGCAAGTAAAAAATGTTGCTAAGTACTTTCCCGTCAGAAGCAGAAAGTTCCACTTTGGTTGCCAACCCAGTATTTTCTAATCTGAAGATATACTTACTCATAGGGCTTCGTAAAAATTCTGCTCATATTAAATACATCAGCATACCCATCGTTGCCTGTCCAAAGCACCTCATACCCAGCAGCACCTGTTGCATTGCAATCCACTGTAACCTGTGAGCCTATAAAATCGTATTACAAAGCGAAAAGTTAATTTCTATACTCTAATTAAAGCTCATACAACCCTGTTCAAAGGATCTCACACTGAGCAGCTAAGGATGGAGGTGGATGGGACAGCATCAGCTGCTTCGCGTATGATGTCTTTTTCTCCCACTCCCTTTCAGAAAAGGGCCTCTGACAGAGGTCTAAGCATTCAGTGATGTGCAGGTTCAAAAAAGAGACTAGTAGGACGAGAAGAAGCTAAATCCAGGAAGAAGATGTCCCCTTCTGTGGCATCACTTTCCCCGCAGATTCAAAGACGTGTATTCTCAGAACCTCTTCCAGGGGTTGTACAGCAGCGGCAATGGAAACCAACAGATTCGACAGAGAATCACATGGTTTCCCTGTAATTTCCTTTGCATCTGCGAAATTTCCCTGCAGGTTTCCCAGGATTTTGGAAGCCGCATCCCTTGTCTCTTTTCTCTCTTCCCCCAAACACTCCTCCTTTAGGAGGTCAATATATAGGAGACACAGAGCTGGTCACTGACCAATTTAGGTCAAAAAATGCAGAAGGGGCACTCCGCTTGGGCATAAATTTTCCGCTAGGATACGTAATCATATTTTATTACAAATAAAATTACTTACCAAGTTCCACTTCAATGGAGTTGTTTCTTGGATAAGATATTTCTGGGGGCATTTCTGGTGGGCTCACTAACCAAAAGAAAGAAAGTCCTTTTCAGAAACCTGAGGCAGCTGCAGCTTGTCCTAAGTTCTATAACTCAACAGTAACCTAAAAAGACCTGTCCTACAGACATGATTGTCAGCAATTTTACAACAGACATCACTCAATCCTCAAAATATCATGTTTCAGATAATTTTGTTACTTCTGATGATAAATATTGGTCGCTCCACCTCTTCTAAAATGTAGTGTTACTAATCTCTACACAGCAATGGTGAGCTGCCTGTCCCATGGGATAAAAATCATGTAATAGCGTATGCACAGGTACTGGGTCAGGCATGGGTAAACATCTACAGTATTTCCCACCTCTCCACAGTCTGGCTAGCCTGCCACCCAGCACCCTATAGATACAAACCGGAGAGAAATACTTTTATCATGCAATTGATCTATTTCAGATTTTTTATTACTATCCAGGGGAAATTTAATTTCTATACTCTAGTTAAAGGCCTTACGCTTCTGCCTGCCCACAGCACTACGTATAAAGGAGTACAACACCAATCATCTATTTTGGATGTTTCCACCAGGACTAGATATATCACACCCTAGAAATGCTTTTCTTTCTCTGTAGGCTGCAAAAGGAGACTAATCAACAGGTGGAGATCTAGACATCTAAATTGCAAATGTCTCAGTATGGCTAAGTGAATTCTGACTTGGAGGATCCCTCACTCAACACACCAATCGGGCAGTTGTAGAACATTACAGAACATTTCCTGATCAGATAGGTATTCAAAGTTCAGGGAAGTTCCTCCATGAGCACAAATTAACAAATAGAAATTATAACTATCTTGTTTGAATTCCCTAGTGAAGCACACAGGATTGCCCCAGATGCATCTTTCCTTCTCCCTTCCAAAAAGTGTGCCTACACTATTGTTTGCCTCCAAAAAAAATCAATCATTTTAGTGCAGACTTACTCGATGCCAAAGCTTTCACTCATTTACGGCACAAGAGCGACATGATTTTGGTTTTACTAAGGAGTGAGGGCTGACTTTACACTAAGGATGACGTCCTAGAGACAGATTTTAAGACCCGAATGATCAATTCATCTAGTCTGACCTTGTAACTCATACTTTGTGTATCAACATCATATATATATAATACACATTTTTATGTGCAGGTGTATTTATACATGATATGGATGCGTATGTAAATGCACATGTAAATATACATATGCATATATATACACACACACATACATAAACTCACTCAAGATATACACACACACACACACAGACAATTAAATGGAATACAATCTATAAGTAGACCTGAGAGAGTCTTTCATCAGCTGGAATGTAGAAACAGTACAGGCATCTCATACCTTGATACAACACAGCCTTTTCAGTGATCCAATATCAATCTCCTAATGCTGTGCTAGCAAAGGAGTTCACGTTTTTACAGTGAGGCCTTCTTTTATTTTTTTGTTTTGCAGTTGTGCTTGTGGACCCCCAACAGAAATTAAGGTCTACTGAGCCAGATACTCAATACCAGAGATCAACAGCTCTTGTGCTGAAGAGTTTCAAACCTTTGTCCGTTCTGTTTTTCGTTTTAAGGAAATGGATAGGACATACACAGCCATGACAGTGCTACAGTTCGGGCTGGTTTTTTTGTGTATTCTTGTAGCAAGGGGACGATGCAAAAGAGAGAGAAGCAAGACAGGCAGGGCAGAGAGGGTGCAGCTGCAGCAGAAAGGACTATGCCTACCAAGCCTGGTAGGGCACCTGTTTAGGGACCTCTGCAGCTAGACCAGGCAGCACAGCTCTGATATGCTCCAGCACACAACAGGAGAACCAGTCTTCAACACAGTGGCAGCAACAAACAAAAACATGCAAGTACTCAGCCAGCATTTCTTTCCCTTATAGTTGGGTACAAACAAATAGCTCTAAGCGCTCCTATCCACAAATTTGCTTTTTTAGCTGTCACTACAAATCCAGACAACATTTTGGAAAGTCATTGTTATGAGCAAAACAACAGTGAAGGTACTTACTTACCTTCTACAGATAGACTGATGTCTCGTGAAATGTTATATTGTTTTCCATTGTAGCTATATGATGTTTTGCACGTATAGTTTCCTTTATCATGTAAAGTCACATTGAAAATGAGAAGATCACTGTTTAAGGAGGAAAACCTTTTCCCTTCCAGTAGCTGACAATCCTAGATATGTGTAGAGAACTCTGTTAATTCACACGACCATCTCTTTCCATGGCTTGTCTCTCTTGAAGGCAATCTGAATTTTCAAGAGATCACAATATAACGACGGAGGTCTTGCGGAGGTTGGGGGCAGGGGGAGCATGAAAGAGAAATGGCACTAACAGCAAAACATATTTCATTTTGGGCTTGAATTTTTGATTCAAAGATACTCCAAATCATTTCCTATAGAAAACTACTTACAATGTTAAAGACAGAAATGAGAAAGTGAAATGCAAGGGTCAGGATTCGTAAGAGTATGTATTACTGAAAAATCCTTCAATAATTGGACTTCATGTTTCAAAGTACTTAAACACTCATGGTAGTATACAGACTACAAGGGCAAGAAGCAGAAATGCTGCTGAAGGCACTACATTCTTACAACAGAAAGAGCCTTTAAACAAGCAGGAATAGTATTAAATGGCATTTATTTAATGGGACAATATTGTACACATAATGGATATGAAATGACATATTAAATCAATTTCTGCACAAGGTGGAAGGTAAAAATGTGCCACCTGCTGGATGCATGGTTCAACATCTCCTATATTTAAGATGAACTTCTACTCCGTTGTTCAAAAACCAGGATATGCCTTCAGAAGATAAAAAGTCTTAATTTGTCTGCCCCGCCCCCCCCAATTTGTTTTAAAAACATTCTTCTCACATTTAAAATAAATTCACAGTTTTTCTACAATTCATAAACATCAGTGATCTGTATTTTACGTAACAGATATTTATGACAGTACGAAATGCATCATTCTCACCTTATACCAACTAACAGGCATGGTATTCTTCTCATCCCTGAAATAATCCAAGTGTGGACACACAACTCTTGCAGATGATAACGTGAATATCACCTCCTCTACAGCAAATTTTTCATTTAAGCATAAACCATCAACCCTCTCAAAAACTGTTACTTTTGTACGCATTTTGCTGCAGCTTGTCAAATTCCTGCAATTAATATAACATAACTGAATTAAACTACTTGCCATATTTTCAAACTAGAAAATATATAGTACTCTCTTTGGAGAAGAGAAGGATCAGAACTCTGCCGTTTCCCTAATAGATTTGCTTTTCCCTGAGCATTCTAAACATGGGAGCTAAAAGTATTCCGATCATTGCTTCTGCAATATTAAGTTTCTTTTACAGCTCCCTTAGCCTACAAAGGTTCATCTCCCTTGACAGCCATTGGTCTCCTGCTCTGCATCCCACCCCCTCCTTATTCTCCCAGAATCCTCTCTCTACCGTGACTTCAGAGAACTCCTAGGGAAAACTACACTCCTACGTTCCCTAACCTACAGTTTTTGTGAACGCGCTCTCTCTTTTAATTAGTATACGCCTTACCCCCAAAATTGTACTTGCTTTCTAAAAGTTATTCCCTTTGCAACTCAATTCTGTAGTAATGTAATTTTTTTTTAAACTTTCACCTTATGACACATTCATAATCTCCAGAATCTTCTAACATTGCAGGGAGAAACCAAATTAAACTCTTCTGCTGATGAATTCTGGAAAGTTTGTCTCTAGGCACAGACGTCTGGTTTCCAACTTTATACCATGTTAAATCGTAGTCTCCGCTTTTAAAATTCAAGCTGTTTTCCAGTGAACATTTAATAGCAAGAGGCTGCCCAACGGGCACCAGACTTTGCCTCAATGTTATATCACAGGCTTCACATTTCTCTAAAGGAAAACAGACAAACATTAAAGAAAGCCTCAAATACTGTGAAAGAATATATTTAACTCATTCCTTGACTATGTTTACAAAGTTCCTCGGAGTTTCCACCTTTATTTTTAAATCAGCTACTAAAAAGATAATGACAATTCCTTGTCTTAAGACTTGACAGTACTACTCAGTTACATTTATAGTTACGTCACTGGTATGAAATGCTGCTTTTTGAATGCAAACTTTACCCTGTAGCAAAATCTCTTGGTTTGCAGTAGACTGTCATTTGTACATTTCAGTTCAGATGCTAATTATTAGAATATTTGTATTTCTCCAGTCCGTTTCCTCTGCATGCACACAAATACACATACGCACACACAAATGTTACTTTGAGTGCCTTTATTCCTTAATTTTTCTTCTTAACTGTAGTCAAAATATGTCTTCAAGACACGCTATTCTTTCAATGCCAAAAGGTTCAAAGAGGACACTGAAGTTAAAGTTGTAGTTGCACAAATATTAAGGTTGATAAGGAAATTTCAACTAACTCCTCATTTTGTGAGCATTTAACAAGCACTTACCAGCGAGCTCGTTTTCTTCACACTGGATCCAAGGAGACTCATAGAGAAAGAGAGTTTGCAACACCACGAGCACTTAAAAGGGCACCAACTCTGGCTACCATGGTCACATTCCAGAGCCAGTATTCTATTTATCTAAAATTCCCCCTTTCATTAAACTATAAGAACAGCCACACGGAGTCATACACATGTCTGTGTAGCCCAAAATCCTGTCTCTGATAACAACCAGTGGCAGATGCGTAAGAAAAGAAAATAAAGACAGAGCAAGTAAGAATAATGCTTTGATTTTGGTACCTTCCTTCCCTCTCACATTCTGCATGAAAAAGCTATTCATTGCCTTTTCTCATTTCTCTGGCTACCGCATATTCCTTGTTAAGAAAGAAATGGCAAACTTTCCCTTATCTGCCTGCTCAATGACGTTCACAGTTTCAGACCTCCATCACATGTTGCCTCAGTTATCTCTTTTCTTCACCCCAGTCCTTATTCATTTAATGACTTCTCATATGGAAGCTATCGCGTATCAGCCAACAGTCACTCATCTCTTTATCTTTTCTAATATAGTTTTTCTGAGATTGACCAGAATCGCAGAGTTCAAGTTGCACATTCACCACGAGCTTATGTAGCAACATAACGAAGCTTTCCATTTTCTACTCTATTCCTTTCCAATAATTCCTGTTTGTCTTTTTGCCCACCAAGGATAGAGCTAATGCTTCCAGAGAGCATCCAGAGATGCCAAAAGAGCATTTTACCTAAGTGGCTCTGACTAACTTAATGCTCACACTACTTACATAAAGTATGCATGTTTGTGCTATACATATGTATGTTCCTTCCATGCCCCTCCACATTATTTTAATCATTGACATTCTATCACCAAATCATTCAATACCCAGAAATCCCCTTTACAGTCAGTATTAGTTCTGACCGCTAAGGCTAACTTTATATTATCCGCAGATCTCATCACCTCCCTATAAACCTCCAAATTACTTATCAAAACACTGAACTGTTCAGATGTCAGTGTTGATTGCCCCATAACTTTGACAGTTATGAAATGAAGACCAATACTTATCTTCTGTGGCCACAGGAACAGATATAACTCTTCGCTGCTGCTACATCCTACTGCTCTAAAATAGCACCATGTTTTATGAACTTCTTGCTTCAGTTTATTTGAAATTCCTCCTCCCTTGCCCATGTCCTCCATTTTCTTCATGGAGCAGGCAAGAATTATAAGACACATGCTAACTAAGCAGACAAGAGAATGGTCTACTGTTATTTGGACAGCCAAAAAAACGTAACTATCCTTCTGTGTGATTACTCCATTTGCCAGGAAACAGACTACCCAACGGGTTGGTAAGCCTTCAAGTTTGCCCATTCACAGGCATCAAAAAAAAAAAAAAAAATCCAACAGAATGTCTTGCTAGAAACCCAGGGAATGGACGGGCATTCATGGAGTTTTGCTTTTAACACTCTGGCACTGTTGCAAGACTCTAGGTAGAATGACAAGATTATGACAGTATCTCATCCAGACCATTTTAAATGTTTTAAACACGTGAATCACCAGGATTGTTGGTTGACAGCTAAACTAAAGGGCAGAAACAAGCAGGTGCAACTGAGTTGCCTAGTAATTTTACAAAAATCTCAATAAATTAGCTTGCAATGTTATTATCATCAAATGGGTGAATTTTCCAATATGAAAAAAATCATAAGGACACATTCTGTAAAGTTAAAATTATAAATCAGTTCATAAGGTACTCAGAATACCAAATACTGCATATTACATGTTTCACAGGTTCCCGCTTTTAAGATTGTTAAAAAAATCCTCACTGGTGTGCACACGAATCTGACTTTTACACTGATTTTTCACAAAAAAAAAATTAGTATTACTTGTGCAAAAAATTAAGTTTCAGAACAAGAGCCTTCACAGCCACCAATAAACTTACCTGCTATGATTAAAGACAGAAATGCTGTTGTGATATTGCATGAAAACAATGTTTTTGCTGTCATGTTTCACTGCAGAAAAGGGAAAAAAAAAATCTTCACTCATCAGTTTCCAGTAAAAACTTTCACAACTGAAAGTCAGCTTTGCATTACACAGTTTCTGTTAACAAACCAGTGTCTTTGTAACAACCGTATGTTTCTTATAGAAAGCTTTCGACACACTACATGTGTTTGTAGCCTATTAAAAGGAACTATCTACCTCCTGGAAAAATACAATCATCTCCAGGATTAAAAAGCAATAGCTATGTTGCAATCTCACTACAAAACATTTGGTTTTTAGTATGAGTGGAAGTGAAGACTTTTGAACACAACACAGGACTACACATAAGAACATCTATACTAGCGAGATCAGAGGCCTCTCTGAATCAATTTCCTGTCTCAAAAAGTGGCTCATAGCAGAGGACTTTGGAAAAAAAGTGCCAGAGAGTAAGAATAGTGACATTCTCCCAAAAATAGTCTCCTGGACTCTACCAATTTATGTTTTAAGGTCTTTCTGTGTTAGAATTAGTCTCTTAATATTTGATAGCCTCTAGCAGATTTTTTCCCACAAATTGGTCCAACATTCTTTGAATCCATGGAAACATCCTGTAGCAAAGAGACCCAAAGTTTAAATATTGCCATAGAAAATAAAGCAATTGTCTTTGGCTTGTTTTGAGCCTGCTACCTGCTACAACCGGGAAAGAAAATGAACTAACACTTCCTCTTTATCTTGTCTAGTACTCAATCTTTTATAGGTCTCCAGGACACTCTTCCTCAGTTTTTGCTTTTCCAAGCTGCAAGAGTCTTAGACTCTTTAACTGTCCTATCCATGGAACCCGATTTCATACTTCTGATCACTTTGCCACCCTCTTATGTACCCTCTCCAGTTACACTACAACTTTCTGAGATGGGGAGGGGAGACCAGAGCTTGCACACGCTGATCGAAATGTTAGTGCACTACAATTTTATAAACTGGAACAACGATGCTTTCTGGTTTATTTTTTAATAATTTTGTAAAAATTTCTAACATTCTATTTTCTCTTGGAGCACTACTGATTATTGAGCTGATATTTCATGGGCCTGTATAGTAAAACCTCAAGATCTTATGACTGCGTGTTAAAAATTGGGTAAACCCAGTCAGTCACTGTGCACATGAACTTAGGATTTTGCCCATATGCTTTCATTTTAAAATTTCTTTATATTTATTTGCACCAAATTTATTCTGCAGTCATTACCCAGTCATTCACTGTCATGAGATCCTTCTGTCACTCTTTGCAAGTACCACCTCTGTGTTCCATTCTGAATAACTTAGTACTATCGACAAATTTTGCCACTGCAACACTCACCCCCCACCTTTCTAAATCATTAAGAAATATGCTGAATAGAAGAGGTTCCTTTGGGAATCTTCCCAGTGACCTTCCTCCATCTCAAAAACTGAGCATTTAGCTTTTAGCTACTTATCTATACATCTGAGACTAAACCTCTCATGGCAGTCTGGTCTTCCTAATAGCCCCTGCTGCATGCCTTTCGGGTGTTAAGGCACCATCTCTCCCGGAACCAGTGCGTTCACATACACCTCCCATTTATAAAAGTCATGTTGACTCCTTCCATATGTAATTAATCCACACTTCTGCTAGTTCTACTCTTTAAATCAGTTTCTACCTATCAGCCTGTTGGTTGCAGATAGCAGGATCATTGATCTGTACTTTCCTGGTTCTCTCCAGATTGTTAGCAGCAAAGGAAGAAAAAAAAAAAAAAGTAAGCAAGCTAAAAAAGAAAAAACAAAAACAAAAAATAGGCTTCCCGTTTATCACCTTCTGATCCTTTGGTCCCAAAGCTGCTCCAAGGGAGACATTTACACCCTCATTACTAGTTCAGCCATTTCAGTCTTGAGCTCCTTTAGAACACCAGACTGAGTACAAACATTTTGTTCTATAATCATCTGTTAATTACATTTCTATCTGGGATAGATCCCCCCCCATTAAAATGTTCACAAGAAAGCATTTGGGCACTGAAATTCACTGTCCTCCAAGACGAACACAAATGCAAAAAAAATTGTTTGCATTTTTTTCCTGCTATGTTCTTATGTTCCCTCAGCTCTCGCTATGGGAAGATAAACGATTTTTTTTTATACTTCAGTGGTCTATTGGCCCTCAGGACTCTTTGATAGGCTTCTTATCCTTAGCGTGTTTGAAGAAGGATCTATTAGTAGTTGTATATGTGCCTTACTGTTTGTTTGTTTGTTTGTTTTTTTAAACTTTAGCCTACCACAGTTCATACAGGACTATGAAAGGAAAAATGCAATTCCTTAAACTAAAGGACAAACAGGACAACCCTATCCTTTTGTGAAGGATCTTTAGCTGATCATCAATTTATACCACAGTCAAGGATGGCACTTCCGGCTGCCGTATCTTACTTCACCAGACCGACTCAGAAGCGTGCCATACATTGAGTCATCAGCACTGCTTCTTGCAATGCCTGCTTGCTTCCTTCTTCCCCTCCTCTTCCCTCCTCCCTCATTGCAAATTTCCGTTCCAATTACCAGGCAAGTCTTTTCTTGCCTAGTTCTCTTTCATTATAGTGTTATCTTATTCTACTACTCTGTCTCATACGTGCTTTCTCAGGCAGTTTTTGTGCCCCTACCAGTAGATCCAAAAGAAATGGAACAGCGGTATCTTGCCATGTTACAATAAAACAGCCTTCCAGAACCTTGCTGCTCTAGAAATTCAATGTTCTAACTATTTAAATTTTTTTGCTTACCCTGTCGCCAACATGAAAGGGCTGCAAATATATAGCCCTACGCAAAGCTATATGCATGAACTGCTCTGAGGAGACTCCTCCTGCCTCTGACCTTTTACGAAGAAAAGACTTCCTTTTATGTGGAAGGTATACCCTGCAGCAAAATTAGGCTCTGCACGATGGATGTGATCACATAATTCATGATGAAGACAAAGCTGTGACTGCATAGTCAAGTGTAAATGTGTCTCCATTCTGTCACGATGAACAGCTAAATTTCTCCCTTTTCCTAGCCATTTTATCCACCTCTTCTTCAGCCTGCAATAGAGCTGTATACTTTTACCACTTAGGACAGCAAAATTCATCTGGAGTTATCTTTACCCAAATTTTCCAGAGGGACAAAAAAATTCTTTGTTCCTGAGTCCATGTCCATAAAGTTTCACCCTGAAAAGAAATTTTCTCATCAATTAAAAAAAAAAAAAAAAGATTTAAGTATCTGAAATAGAAGGTCTTCACCAATACAGACACCTGAATTACAGGATCCAAGATAGCACACAGTAAAACATAATTTACATCCAAATCTGCGATTGAATTTACACTGCCAACACTTCCTCTGCTCTTTAATCCTTTCAAAGTAGATCTACTCAATAAAAAAACACAAGTCGCATCAGAACTCTGAAGAATCATGACGTTCAGTAATTTCTGCATATTTACAGTGCTTTTCTTGAATTTCTCATGATTAAACATATGGACTGATTAAAACAGGAACAAGCCCCGTTCTCAAAAATCAAAAAGAACTAACAGAAAGTGAGAGTAGGAGACTATTCCTTTTAAATCAGCCCATAAATATTTAGATTTAGGAAAAAAAAGAAATATACATTACCTTAACTAGTTCCATGAATTTTAAGGTAATACTATGATGCATCACGAGAATTTAACCAAGGCTCTCACTTCTGATACAGGAAAAACGTTTGTAACGAATATACAGACCTTACATGTTGATATACTTTTTCTGTGAATCACTGACATCCCTCATCACACGTGGGTGCAAAACATTTCTCAAAACCCTTCATTTTAAGCTCTTACCCATTCCTTGAAACACTCACGTGAATACGACTACAACTTCTCAACGGCACAGGAACAGCCTGCCCGAGCTCCCAGTCCCATACCTGTGCACGTTAACTAAAATCACAGCCCTGAGACACGTGCCAAAAGTGGTTATGTTCCTGGAAGATTCGTGAGACGCAGGCGTCAAAACTTAAATTCATTTAAAAAGTACTTGCATAAATTCTCTCAGAAATTGAGTCATATCAAAACACGCGTTACTTGCCAAGGAAAATGGTGACCTTTTGAAAACACCTCGCTCAAACCTGTAAGCTGTTTTCAGCACCCGGTTTACCCAGGAGACAACACGCTGGTCTGACCCCCTTTCCTCACCCTGTGGCCTCCTAAAACAGGACGCCGAAACAAAATTAGGATTATTAGTGCATCTCCACGGATTTCCGCAGGGGGGAAAGCTCGTCTATCCCAAACCGGCCGAGACCAACTGGCTGGTTACATGGCTGGCCAAAACGGCCCCCGCTCCGCGTATGCCTTGATTTTTCTTCCTTTCAGATTATTTCAGCCCTCGATCCCAGCCGCTCGCTCCGGGACGGCGGCCAGCGCTGCCCCCGTCAGGGCCAGGCA